CCCCCCAAAAAACCCCAAAAATTCCCAAAAAAACCCCAAAAATCCCAAAAATTCCCAAAAATCCCCAAAAAAACCCCAAAAATCCCAAAAATTCCCAAAAATCCCCCCAAAAAACCCCAAAAATTCCCAAAAAAACCCCAAAAATCCCAAAAATTCCCAAAAATCCCCAAAAAAACCCCAAAAATCCCAAAAATTCCCAAAAATCCCCCCAAAAAACCCCAAAAATTCCCAAAAAAACCCCAAAAATCCCAAAAATTCCCAAAAATCCCCAAAAAAACCCCAAAAATCCCAAAAATTCCCAAAAATCCCCCCAAAAAACCCCAAAAATTCCCAAAAAAACCCCAAAAATCCCAAAAATTCCCAAAAATCCCCAAAAAAACCCCAAAAGTCCCAAAAATTCCCAAAAATCCCCAAAAAAACCCCCCGAAATTCCCAAAAATTCCCCAAAAATCCCAAAAAAACCCGGGATGGAGCCCGGGCGGTTTTTTGGGATGGGATTCCCAGAAGGAGCAGCCGGGAGATTCCCAAAATTTGGGAAGCAGGAGGGGAAAAAAAATCTTTGGGAATTTTCGGGATTCAGCCCAGAACGGCAGCGGAGGGAGGAAATTCCCGGGGTTTATTTGGGAATGCAGCAAAAATTTGGGAATTCACGGAGGGAAAAACTGGGAATTCCAGATCCGTACTGGGAATTCCAGATCCAAACTGGGAATTCCAGATCCAAACTGGGAATTCCAGATCCATACTGGGAATTCCAGATCCGTACTGGGAATTCCAGATCCAAACTGGGAATTCCAGATCCAAACTGGGAATTCCAGATCCATACTGGGAATCCCTGATCCATACTGGGAATCCCTGATCCAAACTGGGAATCCCAGATCCAAACTGGGAATCCCTGATCCGTACTGGGAATCCCTGATCCAAACTGGGAATCCCAGATCCAAACTGGGAATTCCAGATCCAAACTGGGAATCCCTGATCCAAACTGGGAATCCCAGATCCAAACTGGGAATCCCAGATCCAAACTGGGAATCCAGATCCATACTGGGAATCCCGATCCAAACTGGGAATCCCGATCCAAACTGGGAATCTTGATCCGAACTGGGAATCCCTGATCCAAACTGGGAATCCCAGATCCGAACTGGGAATCCCGATCCAAACTGGGAATCCCGATCCACACCGGATCCTCCATCATCCCGCAATTCCCATCGGGATCCTCCCCACAATTCCGGGATCCATTTGCGGATCCCGGAGCGGGATTCGGGATCGGGTTGGGTGGGATCTGGGAGGATCCCGGAGCGGGATCGCGGAGATTCCGGAACGTTCCAGGTGATCCGGAGGGGGTGGCTGACCATCAACAACATCAGCATCATGAAGGGAGGATCCAAGGAATATTGGTTCGTGCTGACGGCAGAGTCGCTCTCCTGGTACAAGGATGAGGAGGTAGGGCCGGAAAAACGGGAATTCCGGGAATTCCTGGGAATTCTGGGTGGGAAAAAACGGGAATTCCGGGGGGGAAATGGGATTTGGGATGGGAATTCCCCGGAGGATCCAGGGAATGTTGGTTCGTGCTGACGGCAGAGTCGCTCTCCTGGTACAAGGATGAGGAGGTAGGGCCGGGAAAAACGGGAATTCCGGGAATTCCTGGGAATTCTGGGTGGGAAAAAACGGGAATTCCGGGAATTCTGGGTGGAAAAATGGGATTTGGGATGGGAATTCCCGGGAGGATCCAAGGAATGTTGGTTCGTGCTGACGGCAGAGTCGCTCTCCTGGTACAAGGATGAGGAGGTAGGGCCGGGAAAAACGGGAATTCCGGGAATTCCTGGGAATTCTGGGTGGGAAAAAACGGGAATTCTGGGAATTCTGGGTGGGAGATTGGGATTTGGAGAGGGAATTCTGGGGGTCTGGGTGGGAATCCAGGAATTCCCTGTTTTTCCCTTTTCCCAGGAAAAGGAGAAGAAGTACATGCTCCCTTTGGATAACCTGAAAATCCGGGATGTGGGGAAGGGATTCGTGTCCAAAAAATCCCAAAAAATCCCAAGAAAATCCCAAAATCCCAAAAAATCCCAAAAAATCTCAAATTCCAAAATCCCAAATCCCAAAAAATCCCAAAAAATCTCAAATCCCAAATCCCAAATAATCCCAAAATCCCAAATAATCCCAAATAATCCCAAATAATCCCAAATAATCCCAAACCAATCCCAGGAAAGGCGGATCCAGGGATCCTCCCCGGAGCAATTCCAGCATCCTGAACTCCAGAATTCCCAGAATTTTTTGGGGGGTTTCATTCCCTGTTTTTCCCTTTTCCCAGGAAAAGGAGAAGAAGTACATGCTCCCTTTGGATAACCTGAAAATCCGGGATGTGGAGAAGGGATTCATGTCCAACAAACACGTCTTCGCCATCTTCAACACCGAGCAGAGGTCGGGGGGGAAGATTCCGGAAAGTTCCGGGATTTTTTTTCCCCCCCCTCTCCCGGGGGCCGGGATGGTCCCGGGGGATCCGGGCTGATCCCGAGTTTCGCGGATTCCCAGGAATGTGTACAAGGATCTGCGGCAGATCGAGCTGGCCTGCGATTCCCAGGAGGACGTGGACAGCTGGAAAGCCTCGTTCCTGCGGGCGGGGGTGTATCCCGAGAAGGATCAGGTGGGGGGATCCCGGGTGGATCCCGGGGAAATCCAGGGGGATCCAGTGCGGGGAAATCCAGGAAATTTGGGGGAATCAAATCCCGGGAAATCCGGGGGATCCAGTGCGGGGAAATCCAGGAAATTTGGGGGAATCAAATCCCGGGAAATCCGGGGGATCCAGTGCGGGGAAATCCTGAAGAATCCAGGGAAATCTGGGGGGATCCAGTGCAGGGAATCCCAGGGAATCTGGGGGAATCCAGTGCTGGGGAATCTGGGGAATCCGGGGGAATCAAACCCAGGGAGATCCGGGGGGATCCCAGGAATCTGGGGGGATCCCGGGAATCTGGGGGGGTCCTGGGAATCCGGGGGGATCCAGTGCGGGAAAATCCAGCAAATCTGGGGGGATCAAATCCTGGGGATCGGGGGGGATCCAGGGAATCCGGGGGGATCCAGGGAATCTGGGGGGGATCCAGGGAATCCGGGGGGATCCAGGGAATCTGGGGGGGATCCAGGGAATCCGGGGGGATCCAGGGAATCTGGGGGGGATCCAGGGAAAATCTGGGGGAATCCCAGGGAATCTGAGGGAATCAAATCCAGGGAAATCCGGGAATCCAGTGTGGGGAAATCTGGGAATCCAGGGAAATCCAATCCCTGCCAATCAATCCATGTCAATCAATCCCTGTCAATCAATCCAATCCCTGTCAATCAATCCATGTCAATCAATCCCTGTCAATCAATCCATGTCAATCAATCCATGTCAATCAATCCAA